TAATGACGTTTATATAAATTTATCTTTCAAACAAATCTTACTAGCGAAGTTGTCACTCTTACCACATAACACAGCATATCTACCAACTCTACCCCGAACGCACGAAAAAAACATAGTATTATACCTTCCTGGCTAAACAAGTATATCCACCGTAACACATTACCCCGCTCCATATTTGATTCATAGCCTAGAGGTCTTTGACCTACTTAGATAAATTTAGGTCTGAAGTAAATTAGCTTTATCCCACTTCCCCGAATATATATGTAAACGCGCAAATCATTGTAATCTTTGCATATTGAGTAATAAAGGAATTGAGGAAAAGGCCTCTTTTTTTTTTTAAAAAAAAAAATCTTTACTAGCGATTCTACCACAAAATCCCGACATCAAAATCTCGAAAATCAAAATCCCGAAAGTACCAAACTCGTCAGGTTAAAATCCAGAAAATACTAAAATCCTAATATGACATCAGAATTTAGTATTGTTGGGATTTTAACCTGTCGGATTTTGGTACTTTCGGGATTTTGATTTTCGGGATTTTGAGTGTCGGGATTTTAGATGTCGTTTCATGTCCCCATATTCCATCAAAACCTTGCAACTGTCCTCAAAACATTCAATTTTAGTAATGCCTTCTATTCAGTTGGCGATTAATATATTGGTTAATACAAGCGCGACATACGATTACATTTGGTGGTAAGACTCATGAAATCGTGGGTAGGCACATTTTCGCAACAAAGGTTACATTCTGAAAACCTTTTAATCAGGTAGAATTCATATGGAAGTAAATAAAAAGATTAATGAGCTTTTTTAACTGTTATTAACTGAACGTAATAGATAAAAAAAACAGATGACAGATGCTATGATTACGTGACAATGACGAAATCTAAAGCTCGTTTTATATGTAAACAATTTTATTGGAGCACAAAAAATAGGTTCTTATTGGCCAAGTTTTTACCGATTATTTAGTAATGCTTGAATGCTGTAATGATAGAGACTAATGTATAAACCTTTGCGTTGCAACGACTAATATACTGTTGAACCTCCTGATAACCTATCAAATCTGATAAAAAATTAGTCTACAAAGTCCGTTTCCGTTATATAAATCTAATAGTTTATAATGTT